TAAAAGTTTGGGCGGGTAAAATTGGTATCATGGGAACCACGGAAGCTAGAGGGCTGAAATTTTTGTTTTCTTCCAGTACAGTTTCAATATTTTTTAAATATTTTTTTTGTATTATTCTTAACTTTATGCACATTTGTTTTGCAGTTATGTCGACACGCACAGCATCTTCCACATCATCCTCATCAAATGCAGTGCCATCGTTCGTCCAGTCCTCGGCTCGTAGTTCAAGTTCATCGTTGACAATGAGCAACAGTCGTTTCCCACTGGATGATGCTACAACACTCAAAAAGTGCCCCACTGCCTCAACACCAAGCCCGAAAGTGCTGAATGACAGCATCAATGCAGCGGACTGCTGGACCAAAGAATCCATAAAACAACCTGTTTCTGGCAATTTGGAAGACAAAAATTTGAAGAAAGAGGCACCGAACATGTTCAAAATCATACAAAACTATATGGGTGATAGGAAGTGCAAAACATCTGCTGATCAGGTTTAATTTGGAATTTGTTGTCTTTAGACTGTCCGCATTCATTATCTTTTGATTTTTTTATTTGGTTTTGGTTGAATTTTATTTGAATTTAGTTGAATTTTTTGGTTACTACTATTTTATGCTAAAATATGCCTGCAGCATGTGAAGCATGAGTTATTTGATAGTTCAGTTCTCAAACTGGTCAGCTGAAAACTTCTAGCCAGGGATATTCACTGTCTGCATCTGAAAGTAAGATAAAAAATGAGGAGAAGGAGAGAAGGGAAGGAGAATGAAATGGGAAAAGGGGAAGAAGAGTATAAAATTATTTGTAACTGGTAAAAAATGTTTCGGTCCATTAAGTCGTATACATTTCTTACCATTACCACAATTGGGCATCGTCTGTACGACGATTCTGGTAACAAAGATAATTTAGATAAAGGTTTAGTGTGTATGTAGCGTAAAAGTTTTTAAGATAAACAGAAAAGAAAGAAAAAAAGAGATCGACAACAGAAAGAAATAAAGACGAAATATCTTTAACATTTCCACAGCAATTCTCCAGTTGCTTTGACCAATGCTGTTTCGCCAGATAGTCAGTCCACATTGTGATGTCGCCGGTGGTATTGACAAAGTTCATCATAGTTTTACATGCGAGTTTTTCACGTTGAGCTAAACTCATTCATTCAATTATGCACAAAAATTTTATTTGCAGCTAGCA